CTCCACCCTGCCCCCTCCTCTCTCTGTCTCTCTGTGTTCTCTCTCCCACCTGCCCACCCAATACCAGTCCTCCCTCCCTCTCACCTTGATCAGCACGCCCAGGGACTTGCCCTTATACTGGATGCTCCCTTTCCAGTTCCTGTAGCTGTCTTTTCCTCCAAACTTCTGGAACTCATTGGGAGTGAACCATCTGTTCTCCGAGAGCACACACTTCTCCCCTGGGCCACAGAGATGGGAGTCACACACTCTGACCCAGTGCCATTGTCTCTATACATTCACAATATCAAAAAGCTTCTGAAGAGACTGTGTGTCATGGCAGCTGCAGTCTGCGTTTTCTGAATGGCTTTTCTTAGGATGACCACTAAGTCCTGCTCAAGATACAGCCATATCCTGCTGTTGAGGCCTAAAAGCTGCCGAGCTGCTGCCCACACTTGCTGGCCCTGACCAACTCAGTAAGTCCAGCCTGATATTGTGGAAAAAATGAACATAGTTAATGGACCTTCAGACACCTCAGAATTCATGGTGACACATGCTTGGTCTGGAACATGGGAGTGGCGATATCTTCCTGCCTCTCTCATACCGCCCACTACTCTGGGCCAATCCATCTCGGATCAGTCCGGTTGACCCCAGGGAACCGAGTTTCCTCACCACTTGACTTGGCCAGCTTCTTGCGGTACAGGACACCACTCTTGTCTCCGCAGGTGACGCTCAGTTTGGTCTTTATCAGCGAGTTGTCCTCGAATGGTTCGATCCTCCTCCTCTTCTTTGGAACTGACCCTGTGACACACAGATCCGCTTCTTAAACTCAATTGTTTTTCCGGACATTATTCAAGGAATGCCCGAGAGGCGGGAACAAAGCAGGAATCCAAGCCTTTCACAGGACAGCAGAGGGCGGGAGGCGATTCTGTAACCACCTGCCTGATCTGGGACCCACACCTGGGAGCTTCAGCGTCCCCCATGTGGGAAGATCAAGGTCTCAAGGCTTCACTAGCATGGCTTCTGTTCCCGTTCTGGGGAGCAGTACTGGAGCAGGGGGGCACCAGGTTCAGTCCTGGACTTAATACACAATTCCTTCCTCCGTCACCTGCCGAAGAGCAGGTGGTCACAGCTGCCAGTGAAACAGATGATCACTTGGGCTGACCACACAGAGCTCAGGCTGGAAGAAACACCATGAGCACACTTCCATCCTCAATGCCTAGACTCCGGAGAGATCTGATGGACAGTACCTCCGGCCTGTTTCCTGGGGTTCTTCTTCTCCTTCTGGGGTGCTTTCATCTTGATTGATGGTCCTGGCTGTTCCTTGGATTTAAACTCCTCCACCTTCTCCTCCGTCTCTGGCAGTTTTCTGGGGGCAGGAGCGGTGCCTGTTGGTTTTGGAGAAGGACAGGGGATGATTGCCACATGCCCAGCAGCCCTGCCAGCAGAAACCAGCTGCCACTGAGATGTGACACATCCCAACCGCAACAGGGATCCTGTCCCTGCCTAGAACTCCTCCAGGAACCTCTCTGAACACCTCACTGTCGGACCACTATCCCAGTCAGAACAATGGGAATCAGTGCTTTGCTGACTTGATTGGACCCTTTTAACAAATTCCCCCAGCTCCTGAGACACTGGTGCTTTAAAGACACCAGGAAAACCCACAGACACACTGACCCTCCAGGAGCAG